ATGGCTAGCGCTACGCGCTGTTGCTCGGTCTGGAGCATGGCGGATGTGATGGCCATCTTGAACTCTCTCCCCCAGAGCAGGAAATTTTCTCCATAGTTCCCCTCAAAGACCTTAACGCTCACCATGAGCGGCTTAGAGCGGGGAAAATCATTTGCCACCGACGGTGGCGTCATAGACGCAAATGATGCAGACATCTTCTGCTGCAAGTGCTCCAGCAGCGCGTTTTCGTAACTTGAAAACACCTCTAGACGGGCACCGATTGCCTCGGGACCTTGCGCTACAAGGTGTTGCACGCCCTCAGGGTCAAGCAAGGACATCAGCTTGTTAAGCCCGTCCTGCATGCCCTGGGGCAAAGAGGAGAATTTCTCTATCCTCACAGAGGATCCGTCTAAACGACCCAGGTGTAGATTGACTACAAGTGCTACCAAGTGCGGCGGAGCTGCCGTAGCTTTGCGCTTAAGGAAGCGTAAGTTAGGTCACCGACCTCTCGTTTTTATACTCAGAACAAGCACGAGTTTAGCGGATCGCAATCCGCTTATTCCAAGAGTAATTATGGACTTAATCCATGGCTAATCAACTCTTCATTTAAATTCAAAACTGACTTTCTAATTTTAATCTGCGGCAAAGCCGCCAAATTTTAAATGCATAGATTTTCCTGAATATGTATAATAAATTTTTATACATGTACTGGCTATCCAGCCCCGTACCGTATACTTGTTTGGGTGTGGTCACACCATGCCCATCTGGTGTGATCCCCCCTGTTACCAGGGTATGTGTTACCCCGTTACAGAGCGTGAGACAACTATACTTTCAGTGAGATGAAGCTCGAATCACCCACATACTTTAAACACCCACATACTTTGAATAACACAAACAGACTCACAGCTCCAGTTGGTCCCGATGGAGTAGCATAATTGGCGGTTCAGTGCTAAGATATCATTACCGCTCGCCTTGTGGCTTTCACCAGCTATGAGATTGCGCTGATGAGGCTCTTTCAGGAAAGTCTCAATCGGACGCTCGTTGAGGGACAACCAGCTTAAAACGGGCTATGTAAGTGACACCCTTTGTGCTAAGTATGAAGCCTTTTAAGAACAAAGATGGCGATAATATCCTCCCGTGGGCACGAGAGGTTGAGATGGCCATGAAGTTGGTTATGATTCAAGCAGAGCATCTACCAATCATCAAATGAGAAGGCCACCAATGATTGAGGAGCCCCCATGACATTGTCATCAAGTTGATGGCACGAGTCTCTGCAGCGCCTAATTAGGCTTACCGCTCGCGATCTAGGTTTTATCTGCCCGCTAGGTGAAAGAAGCATATGAAAACTTTATCGAATGAGGAATTCTTATTGCCAGATAAGCAGCTAACCCTTTGCCGCGGTCAATAACAGTTACCATATCCATGAAGGATGTGCGACTTGCTCATGAAGTTTCCGCTTTTACCCGATACCGTGATCGACAACAGTCTAGTGTGTATGAAGGAGATGCAACTCCCTCCAAGATCTTTCCTGTCCATCCGACCATTTTCAATAAAATAAATTTGACACACAGTTTTCAATCCAGAACGGTTAGTCTAGGTGATGAAGGTGAGAGTTCTGTGTTCGCACCATATGCGATGAATATCAGCCATCTTATGAGGACAAGATTAATTGCTCGGCTGCTGAACAGCGCATTAGTATTTACACTGTGAGAATACCATACATATACGCCCTCTGTACGACCTCCGCTTGTAATTAAGTTATATTAATAGTCTTTCGGGCATGCCAACCGGCTTGGCATGCCCCCTCGCGGAGAAATATCAAGTCACAGTAAAAGCGGGGTAGAGTACTAAAACGCGTAAACACTTCGTACTGTGTGTATGTTTAGGTCGTTGTGACCTAACTCTAGATTTAGCTAGATACTCTTGGGTTATAGCCAAGAGTTACAAGTCGGTGATTTCGGCAAAACATTTTTTAAGGCCATTAAAAGCCCTATTCGATTCAGATACGTCATGCAACTATCTGCGACAAAAGGAAAAAAAATGTGAAGGCACTGAGTTTGCCGGGCAAGGATACAGCAGTTATATGTCCTGCGACGACGGGGACTTTCATTGACCTATCAGAAATTCTTTTGAATCTTGACAGCGTTAAGCTCAATTTGGTCATAAAGCTGGAATCAAGATACGGTCTCATCTTAATGCAGCCTGGCTGGATCTATGAGCAATGCTTGGCTGGGAGTCGAAGGGATTGACTGCTATAAACTTCATGTTGTAATTTTTGATAAGTCATCAATTCATCAATGATAGAAATTAGAAGCGCGATTGACGCGGGCTAGAAGGTGGGACAGCTTTGGTTAGAGCTTGGTATGATCCGATATAATCAGCAACATATTGCTAAAAGTATTGAGTGAAGCTCGGTTGAGTGAGCCATGACCCTCATAAATATACAATTTTTAGATGGTTAAAGACATATGTCAGCTGGCGGTTGCAGCGATACATCTGTTGAAACGGGAGAAAGCAAACATAAGTGGTTTGACCTTGATGCGACAGATAAGTACGAGTTTGAGCTAATTCTATAGATGTGACCTGTTTGATATGTCACAGACACTAGAGTGAGTCGGATCGAAGTGGCTGAGCTTCAGGGTACATCAACATTGAAACAAGCGACTATGTGCCCCGAGAATTCGGGTTAGGCCATGATGTTACCAAGGATGACTCAATTTCTTGCCATGGTGCGACGTTACAGCTGAGTGAGCGACACTGAGTGAGGTGCCAATCATGGAACGTCACCGCTTTGCGGCAAAAAATCGTATATGCATTTATTTAGAGAGTGTGATAATGGAAGGGAATATTTGTCTCGCATCTCTTTCCCAGGTAGAGGAGCCTGTATAGCTTGAGAAGCTGCAAGGGCGCCCAGCCAAAAATATGCAAGACAGTGATTTATTTTATCGAGTCTAACTCATAGAAATAGCTTAGCCCATCATCTTTCATGGGAGAGTTCGTCCTTCGAATATTGCCGGATGACATCAATAGTACATTAGACACCCATTTTATCGTGCACTCTAATAAAGAAGTCATGTTTGTCAGAATTGAAAAAGAGACGAGACATGACGGAAAGGTGTGTAACAGTAAAAATATTTGTTGGAAATTAATCTTTCGTTTGTACGCCATCAAATGTAGAGATTTTACCTGCCTGAACGTAACAGGGGCCGAATGTAATGGACTACACCTAGTCATTACATGAAGGTACGTCTTTGCACTGCCTGGGTGAATGGTAGGAATTTATAACTTGGAATTGCAGTATGGTGACCCAACATGCATATACGACATCTTCTAGGAACTCACAAACGTTCTATGTGACACAGAATGCCAGTTCCTACTTGTGGATTTGTACACACCCGTGCACAGAAGCTCAAGCTGAAGCTTCTCGTAAGTCAAGCTCCGTACACCCAAGATCTTGTAAGCTTAAGCTGAGGCTCAAACTCTGTACACCCTTGATATTCATTAGATTTATAGAAATTCAGTGATTTTATTGTTAAAATCTTCAGGAACTCTTGGGGTATATTGCATATGACTCTATGAACGATTAATTCGTTTTGATTTCAGCAGCAAATCTGCCTTCAAGTCCCTATATCGTTCTTTCTCGCCAAGTAGGGACTGTCTCTCTCTCCATATAAGTAATCGCTTCCTCGCCGCATAGGAGTGTGTGTTGTGTTTGAGAGCTGTTGTGAACAGCGTCCCCGCACAGTCTGCATGTTCGCGAATCAATATCACATTTCGTTTTACGCCGACCGTGAGTTTTACAGCGCATGCAGATTAGTTTGAATAGTCTCAAGACGTTGAAACTTTAAGCTATGCCCACCACAGAATCAGAGAGAGAATAGACGCTCCGCTAAGGGGCTAACAGTGAGGTTGCTATTGTTACAGCTGAGTTACACCGTGAAAGAAATCTATTTAATATGTTTTTAAATTATAAAGACATCACATTTAAATAGAAAAAAGCAAATAAGTATCTTGTTACTTGACAGAGTAAAGGTTTTATTCCTGGGTGCAGCATACAAACCACTCCCTTACGCGCTTATCAAGACAAAATCTCGAGTTTAATTCTTCCTCCGAGCATGGTCCATGACGGCACTGGGTAGCATCAGTCGTCGATTCAACGACCGAGTGATCTGTGAGGATGAAATACAAGATGTTTGAAAGTCTGTTCTCATGACAGCTAGACGCTTTAAATAAGCTCACGTCTCTTGCTGATCTCAGCAAATAATACACTTAGCGGCCGAGAAACCAAAAAATGTAAGATCTCAGCCGGCGGCCCTCATCGTCTAGGAGAATGTGCCAGTGAGACACCCTCGAGAGCGGCCACTGTAATGGCGCGCATGCTAAGCGTACATACCATCGTCGGCAAAACAGAAGAAAATTTCTGGAGTATGAAAATTGATTTGGCTGTGAAATGGTTATAACTCAGATAAGTTTCGATGCTGGCGCGCTGATGATGCAGCAGGGCTGCCGTAGCTATTTGCTTAGAGAAAGCTAAGCTTAGGTCACCGACCTTACGTTCTTTCCAAGAACCAATGCAAGTGTAGTGGATCACAATCCGCTAATTCTAAGTACTTAAGCCTTAACCAAGGCAAACGAGCACTTCTGTTCAAAAACCGAAACTTTATTTACTTGCTTTAGTTGCGGCGGAGCCGTCAATAATCTAAAACCCACACTTTTCCAAATAAACATAGCAAAACCTGATTGATATAGTAATATGCATTACTACTTGTACTCCTGCCACGTGGTGGCTTCTTGTTACAGTGTAGCCACACCACTGTTTGATTACACTATGTTATACACACCTACGTACGGTCGCACAATCTTGTGCGACCCGCCCTTTCTTACAATGGTACGTGTAACCCCGTTACACACTCCCCCATTAGAAATTGTGAATATCTTCAATTCCAATTTGGATGTCGCCTCATACGAGGCTCGCGTGTCTGAGACACCTTCACGTTCATAACAACAACTTTAAACGTTCTAAGCTCTATGAGCACTGTGTCTACGACACATAAAACACTCAGCCTAGCTAGGGCAAAGCCCTTCTTCTTTTTTTCTTTTGCCCAGAGTTCATCTTCGGACAGTACGTTCGCGGCTTTACGGGGAGCACATCTTAAGCCCTCTGCAGCTGGGCGCGACACAACGCGCCTGCCCCGGGCAACGTATTTCCTCCTCGAGGTGTTAGAGGAAGTCGACTAAGAGTCGGACACTCCTTTCCCAGCAAGGAGTGACGAAAAAGATTCTGTGCGCCAAAGGCGCAACGTGAGCCCAGCTATCACCCTGCGGACTCCGTGATCGTTTTCCGACCTCTCGGCTAGCGAGAAATTGGTATTGTTTCCAATCGCCTCGAAGAGGCACAGGAGCAGCAATTGGAGGCTCCTCGCAGGGGGCTCTCCTGCGCTTGTATAGACGTTCAGTCTCAAACCCTCGCGTGAGTTACGGCTTCTGCTCGGCAGATCACACTACTGAAGCGAAAGACGCGATCACTAGATCATGAGGCGTCAGCGTAGACAGGCTTTCGGCCAATACACAAGCTGAGCATGATCAGCGGAAAGCTCTGCAAGCTCACATTAAAGTACCTAAGAGATCCCAATGGCTCGGTAACGCGCTTGACTTTGAGCTCAAAATTGAGGTGCTCATGTTTCCGCAATGCGGACCATTCCTGCGGTGCTCACCCCTGGCAAAACCGCTACAGATATTGAAGAGCTCTTCGAGCGATGGGTGCAGCGGCACCGGAATCTTTCCTCGCTGTATACCGTACAGCGAAGCCATAAGGAAGTGGACGTGCGTGTCTAGTGCCATCAACGCCGACTTCCTACGTATAATAACCCTGCGACAAATGAAACTATCCGTCACGCTCCCGCGAACTCTGTGGTTTCTCATACGGGTGAGTCTACGATCACAGCAGCTCATGGATATCGCCTCATGACCCTTCGGCATCTCACGCCATTGCTGACAAACACGACGCGGAGCGTCATGATCCTTCTGATAATAGCGTCCACGACGTCTGGACAGTCTAGTCAAAGTGGCACCACGAACTCCCACGAGTTCCCGAAGTCTGGAGTCTGAATATCCTCGCCAGTTTACAAGATATTGGGTTCGACCCTGTCGACGACGTCGACCCACAAGACGTGTAACGTGATAGTGAGCGCCACCGTCCTCGTCGAAAAGAGCCGGCGGTGGCCGGTGACGACTGGGCAGATCGCCGTCCGTTGACATGCGATGCTCTTCGGGCTCTTAAGGACAAGGTTTGTCGTAAACGGGCTCCGCAGGGCATCATGCAGAGGTCGTATTGTGCGGGGCGGAAGTCCTCGAGATCTTGGTCTGTCGAAGCGACGCCAAGCCGTCGTGCAGGCGAATACGTCACTGTGCCGGATTACGGTACAGCTTGAGAACCCACATAAAAAACCGGGTGGGTGCGCATCCTTTTAAAAAGATTCGGCGTATATGCTAGTCCTCGCTTGGCAACGAGCTTAAAAGGTGCAATAAACCGTGGACAGAGCTTCGTTTTCAAGACATCAGAAACTGCATGTGTAGGAAGGTTTTTGGCGTTTACTAAAACCAGGTTTCCGACCTCGATATATTAGCATTTCTTCTTCCTTTTCCGTCCGCATATTCCTTCTGCATGTCTGGGCTTTCTGCCATCGCTATTAAATTTAAGAATCTTGACATCCAGGTACACAGGGACCTTCGGCACCGTGACACATGTCCCCGTCACTAATAGTGACGGTGTCACTCAATCGTGCTTTCAGCGTCTCAGCATACAG